CCCCCAAGCACCCCGAGGACTCCGGCTCGGGACCTGCCCCTGCTGCTGGACGCCCTATCATCTCCTCCCTTCGAGCCCCTGGCCCAGGTGGGGCTTAAGTGGCTGTCCACGAAGGCAGCATTTCTGCTTGCCATAACCTCAGGGAAGCGAGTTGGGGAGTTGCATGCCCTCTCCGTGAGCGATACATGCCTGAGGTGGGACTCTCAGGTGTTGCCCTTTGGGCAAATGTGGCGTTCCTGCCAAGATACTTCCACAAACCCACTTCAATCAGCCTGTCTAGCTGGCACGCTTTGACATTCAGGAGAACGGCACGTCAGAGTTGCTGTGCACTGTGGGTGCCCTAAAGGCGTATATCGATGCTACTGCCTGTATACGGCAGTCGGAGCAGCTCTAGCGGTCAGTAGGGACGAAATAGAATGATAGTTACGTCTGTAGCTACGGTTCTATGAGTCCCGGATGACCGCCGGAGTATCCTGTCACTCAGAATTCTTGTGTGCTCGCGAGAAGATTCTGGGAACAGATCCTCTGACGACACCGGCAGATACAGCCGATGTCACGTGGGTCACAGGTGACTTTGTTGTTATTGGTATTCGAGCTGCGCATGCGCGCGATGGACATAGCCAGTGCTAAAGCACCGCCTCTGGCGGTCATCCGGGACTCATAGAACCATAGTTACAGACATAACTATCGTTTTAGATAAGACATAGAGGAAGGTCACATCACTGTAACAACTCATTCTAAAATGTACCCAATATTGTAAAACAGTACAAATCTGCCATTGGCCGTGCAATCTGCAATATTATGTTGTATTTATGTTTGATACTTTGGATCATTTAGCGTTGTAGCGGTTAAGATGTGATAATCTACTTTGATATCAGCCAGAGGAAGTCAGCTTTAAAGCTGATGTTGTGCAACACTAGTCAACAATCTCACAAGCTGAAACCAAATGTAGTATTGCATCAATTCACAGCAGTTGCCTACATTTAGGATGCTGGGGTCAGATGAGGCAGTCCTCTATATTTGTTCTGGGAATTTGGGTCGTTTTATTGATCTGTGGGGAATTACACAGTCAAGGTGGCTATTTTATAGGCTATTCCAGTATTTTTAGACTCAAAACATATCAAATCATACCCTGTGGAGTCCTCGTGGAATTCAGGGTTTCTTGAACAGTGTGTTTCCTTAAAGGAAAACCTATCCACATGTTATGTGGATGTTCATTGATTGTTAATTAGTAAATATATGGTATAAATTCTTCAGCACCTGCTATTCTGACCGCAAAATCTGAGTTCTTTGCTTGCCTCCAGACCTGTGCCGATTGTACCAGAATGCATTGTGCCCAAAATTCTGACGCTTTTCATACCACATAAAACATTTGCAAAACAGATTTATTACTGTTTGTGTTTACTTCCATGTTGGCTAGCTAGCAGTCTTTTTTCTTGTACATGTCTTTGAACATTGCCATCACAAACCTTCTAAGGGTACCTTTACATTACAATTAACATACTGTATCAGGAAATATAAATGACACAACATTCTAAAGAATTAACTCAATCATTATTTTTTGTATCTAATCAAAAATTGTTTTAGCGTATGGATGCATGTGGTGCGGACTCCAGAAAAACTGGACAGAGCTCGGCACAAATGTTTACCCCCTGCATTACCATAAACCAAAATGCAATATGGTCACTTTTGTTGGGTTTTGGTTAAGGACATTTAAGCAGTAACTGAATGTAAGTTCAATATTAATTCTCGTTTTCACTCTGTTTTAGTCTCCACTACCTCCATAGAGAAATATATTGTTGTGTCTCGTCAAATGTGTTAGTTATGTTTATGTATTTTGTCTGTCATTTCCTGTTTTATTTTGTACTTACCTCTTGTCTTTCATTTCAGGCCCTGTTTCTTCTTCCCCTTGTGTGTTTTTCCCGCCATCATCAGTGTCTGCCCCACCCCTGATTGTTTCCACCTGTTCCCACTCACCTCATGTTTAAATAGTCCGATACATCATGTAGACCAGTGGTTCTCAAACTTTTTTCAATAATGTACCCCCTTTGAAAAAAAAATGCAGCCAAGTACCCCATGATCAGCGCAAAAACTATTTAAGGAAAAAAAGCCTATATAAAGAGGTACAGTACAGCGCTGCACCATCAGTGTCTGATTTATTAAAACAACAACCTTGTAACTGAGAAACACTTAAATGCTACATTTCAAATGTTTACAATCCATCACTAAATTCATGGGAAACCAATTGTAACATCATGCAATAACACTAAGACGACATTAGTTGCATTGAACTGATCTTTTTAATAAGTTGTACTTACATTGTAGTGAGAAACATGGGCTTGTGCTTCACTGAGGATCTTTGTCATTCTGACAGGGAGGCAAACTGCAGCTATTACACTTCGCGTTTAAAAAAAAAAGTGTACTCTGTTCATATAAAACAGACACTGCTCAAACTTCGTTACTTTTCCTAAAATTGGTTTATTTATTTATTTATTTTGGGGCGTGGGGAATGAAGAGAAAAAAGTATATGAGCATTTTATGAGCATGGGATTTTGACCCCTCGTATAAACATATGCATAATGCTGCGCTATACTTTGCGGCCACACGCCGTTGCCAAGCAACGCTTATTGTTTAGGTGTCCTTTGATAAGCAGGCAGTCATATCATTAGCTAGAACTATCTAGATCTGATGATTTGGACATAAACGGGAGTGAAGTCTAACCGGACTCGAGAGAGAGAGATCAGAGATCAGATCAGCTGCTGCTGACGGAGAACACGCAGCTCTGCATGATCACAGCTCCCCCGCTGTGACGGACCGTTGAGTGGAGCAAAACACACTAAGAGTTAGACCTAACACACTTAGCTAGTTGATCTACTCTGGAACTAGCTAAACTAGTTATACATACATTTATTCTTTACTGTCGGGTCACTTATTACAGGTTCAGCGAGCTGCACAAGCCTGACGGGCTGTCAGGAGAGGGAGAGGAAAAGAGAGCACCCCGTTTATTTTTCCCATTTTATTATCCTTACTGTATTACTGTAAACCTTTGAATAAAGTAGTTAATCTACTATCAGTAGTTTGTTTACATGCATTACTTATGTTGTTTTTTAAATTAACATAAAATAAATCTCACGTACCCCCTGCAGTACTCCAACGTACCCCTAGGGGTCCGCGTACCCCCATTTGAGAACCACTGATGTAGACAGCAAGTCACCCTGTGTGAGGCAGAGCCACATTTGCGCAGCTTTGCGTTCACAATACATACAAAAAAATCTAAAAATTAACAGGCCAGGCCATCGGGAAACCCCCCGGTCCTCCCGATGGTCTGTCCGGGACTGGGTACAGGAGGCGTAGAGCGAGGGATCATTGTCCACAAGTTAATCGATCACAGATGGCGTCGAGGTCGCGGACGGATTAAAAAAAAAAAAACCTAAGTGGGTCGCGAAATATACTTGGGCGGCCGTTAATATACCTGGGCGGGCCCGCCCAAGTAAAGTCTATGTGTGGGAAACCCTGAGCTAACTGCGTCTGTCTGCTACACCCTTAACCAATCACAAAATGATTAATGGAAACAGACTCACAGATAAAAGAATGTTTTAGCAAAATTATTTATGTTTCTAAGTTCAATAATATTCTCTCGTTGAAAAAGTAATGTAACCTCATGGTTACTAATAGAGTGGCGAAGTCCCTCCCTTTCCGGTGGACCTCCATGGGACCTTATTTTGGAAAAAGTATGAATTGAAGTCAATGGAGAGAGAAAGATTATCTTTTGATCCCGTTGGAATTGTGCAACGAATTACACATATGATGTTTGTCAATTTAAAAGATAATTTTGCAAGTCGTAAAACTGTGAAGTAACACATTTTTTTGTGTGAAACGCTCAATGAACTACAACTCTGGTCTTGCATACGTCACCAACACCAAGATCGCCGTCACGTTGGCACATTTCACCTCTTTCTTTCAGAATGAAGTGAAAAGTATTAAAATAGGTGAAAATCACTACAAGTCTGGGCATGTTGAGAGCTGTACATACATACACACAAGGGGAGTTAGTTGGTTCCGTAAGAGCCAGCATGCGGGACCGGCTTTACAAGGTTTCAGTGAGTAACACGAGTGTAATGTTTAACGTTAATGTACGCGACTCTGGGATTTGTAGTCTTTCTAGTTGCCTATTTTTCATAGTCTTATATTTCAACAGTTTTAAGACAAACTGTGACTTTTTAGACATGGAAATTATTTTTTTAAGATTGACAAACATCAGTGTAATTCATGGCACAATTCAAACGGGATCGAAAGATACGTTTTCTCTCTCCATTGACTTAAATACATAATTTTTCAGAAATAAGGTCCCATAGGGCGGAAGTAGATGGGTGTGACTTCGCCACTCTATTGCAACACTGACTCCTTCCAAACTTTTGGCTTGTGTGAAATCATTAATAGCTCTTGCTACAGTTAGGGCTGAGACACATCCTGCTGTCTATCCCTCACCTCACTTCACTGATAGCTTTAGCCTTGGCTGTACTGATAAACCGAACTGGCAAATATGTCAAGTATATCAGGACATAAACACTGTGCACAGCGTTGGCGACAGAACACACACACACAGAATGAAAAAGGTAAACAGGAAGGCTTCAATCGAGTGTGTGTAAACGAAACCTGAGGTTTACTACTGAACTTTGAAGGCCAAGTCACAGCAAAACAAAGTTGGTTTACTTTACGAGTAAAGTTTAACATCTCAGTGTAGGTAGGCGTTAAGTACTTATCATCATATAGATAACAATGTTAGGAAAGTAAGAGGGAAATGGAAACTCTAGCTTCTAAATAGACTTCAGACAGGTTTGAGCTCCTCTCCCTGGTGGGAATTGCTGTTTTTAAAGGACTGCATTTTTTTCTTTTGCTACAGAAACACATGACCCGTGGCCGTGAGCTCACCCTACTCAAACAAACTTTTAGAGGTTTTTTTCATCTTTGACTTTGACCTTTTCTATCCCTCAAACTAGATGACTATGGGTTGCTGCTGATGGCCGAGGCGCTGCTGGAGGAGAGCCTGCAGGAAAACATGGACCTATTACGGAGCTCCACACCTTTGATCGACAAGACCCAGCCTAGACTGTGCCTGGCCAAAGGCCACCTCAACTCTGTCCTCAGCCGAGGCCATCTCACAGTCAGTGAAATCTGGGTTCCTTCTGATCATCCTAGTTGTAGATTCCTTTCTGCCTTTTCAAAGCTTTATTTGGAAGCTCATCGCAAACATCTTTTAAGTATGTCTAAAACAAAGGTATCGAAAAAACGTGACTAAGTATTGCAAAATATGAATTACTCTAAAAAAATCGACTCACTATCACAAACATTTACTAAATATCTCAATATAATGATTTAGTTTCTCAAAATATGATCAAACGTTTGCAGACTGAAAATAAGATAGCAAAATAATGATTTAACATCTCAAAAATAAGAGTATAATCATGTATCTCAAAGTAATTAATAACTTATCTGAAATGATGACATACTGTATAACAAAGTTATTATTTTTTGAGGAACTAAATCATAATAAAAAATGTTTTACTGGCACAAATAGGCTTCCAAAGCTTCAAGTCTTTTTTTCTTTATAGAATCCAAAAAACTACACAAAACACAAGCTTTTTTTTAACAAATGTCTTCCTTTGTGATGCTTAAGTATCAGCAAACCTCTTGTCATACAGTATATATATTTCATCTTGTCCTCCAGCCCAGGTACTTGAACGAGGCTCTGCTGATGATGGCCAAAGTGCACTTTGTGCAGGGTCGCTACCGGGACGCCCAGGGAATGTGTGCCAGGGTGGGACTGGACGAGCTAACGCGGGATGAGCAGCCGACCTACCATCTCCGCCTGCTGGCCGAGGCTTTTGTCATGAAAGGTACCTGAAACCGCTGGCAAATCATAGGGACATTTCAAACACTTTTTCCATCATTACAATTGCAATTTACTGCTGAAATTGGCAAACATGGCCACATGTCTTGACGATTTCCCCCTACATAAATGTCCTTGATGATCCCATTCCTAATCACAGCCCTAACACCACAATGACCTTGTATGGGGTTTGGAAGTGAAGTGGAAGGGAGAGTCGGGGGCTGAAGAAATCCAATCTGTGGAAATGAATGTAACACGGCTGGAAAACATCAGCTTGATTTGACAGATAGTTATATGTCAGTAACCCCTGCAAACAGCTTGTGGAGGACACTGATGAGGTGAAAGGAGAAATGGGAAAAGATTGTTCACAAATGCGGCTTTCACACCAGCGCGTTTCCCTTTTCTGCTCCCGCTCTGTTCACACCGCCCAGCACCCGACTGGTGCTGCCGCTGCTGCGTCATGACGTCACCGTTTACATCGCTGATTTGCTCCCCAACGGCATTACGGCGCTCACAACAACGGGGAACTGCGTCGGGTCGATGATCGTGTTGCTTTTAATCACACGAAGCCAGAATAAATTGAATAACGACTTCTCCAACCTTATACTTTGCTCCAGAGTGCCGTGGTTCATTGTTTATTAATGTGTTTATTCTCCTCCGTTAGCTCCCGGTTAGCTCACACTGCAGCTCTAAAGTATTCACTGTCCGACTCACACAAGCAGCTGATACATATCCCCAGTTCCCCTTAGCCTAAGTGATTGTGTGTCAGTCTGAATTGACGCTGTTTGGTATCACAACGCTCTTATGAAAGTTTCTCTGGTATAAAATGGGTGATGTTAGCATAGCAACCGAAGCTAAACTGACTACTTGCTATTGCTATCCTATTGTGGCATAAACCGTTTTCTCCAGGCACATTTTACCGGCGTATTTTTATTATGATTCTACTTGTGATAGTCGGACATGATGACAACCTGTGCAGCCCATGTATTGATTCCATCCGATAGCTGCTATAATACAAAACAAAACGTCTGCCTCTCTCCACAATGATCAATAACAGTGAACGGATGGTCAAAGTAAGGTACAAATAAACAGAATCACACGAAGCCTGGTTAGTGTTGCCTGACTTTATAAAGTGTGTTTATAAGCACTACTGCTTGTAGGCAGGCATGACAGTCGACCCATGTTCAGGGGAGGTGGGTTTAGTTTCCTGCACGCCTCGACGTAAGAGAGACGTAAGCGACGCCACCTCTTAGCTCCGAAGCTCTTGCCTCTAGACCGACAATTTTTTGGAGCTGGAAGTGAACCGGATTCCGGAGCTAAGAGCCGGCGCCGCTGCGGTGTGAACAGGAAAACCCGGCGCTTTTCAGGCTCCAGCTCCGAGCCGGAGCTGAAAAAGCGCTGGTGTGAAAGGGGCAAAAGATGACCTTTGTGTTTCCTCTCGAGTTGCCTCTCCTGATGCCACTTCATGTACAATAACACCTCAGTTATAACATCTATAATGGGATGGACTCAGAGTAAAGTCACAGGGAACAGATTAAGTGTGATTTCTATACAGATGCTGTTTTAAAAATCAGATGATTGTGAGTCATATGTCGAGGAAGCATTTACTATTACTCACAGTCACTCACTTACTTAAGCTGTCATAGTAGTTTCATTATAACACATTCTTCTCTGGGTCACTCCACTCCAGTTAGATACAATCTTAAGTATGTTGTCTATTTTGACACATTGAATAGCAGCATTGTCAAAGGTCATCGGTCACATCCACACAACATTACATAGCGTGTTGTCCCTGAGCTCTCGATAATCTTGTTACGCTCATAATCATCACGTCATTACACTCCCTGTTTCCTATAATGGGACATGACCTCATGCTCTTGAAACAGGAGAATTTCATTACATTAACTGTTCGATTTTCATTTCCTTTTGATTGTTTTGACTGCATGATATTTCAGCGGATCGTGTTCATGTTACTAGTGAAAACAGATCGGATCCGTTGGGGGTTGCATAGCTTCTTCCCATGTTCTTTTGTGTACATATTAATGTGGGAATGAAGTCCGAAGTGAATATTTGGATGATGATGTCTTGTCTGTTGGCAGCTGCCTGCTTATTTGATTAGGCCTGGCATCTGGCCTGAGGCTGCTGTCCGTCACAGGCATCGGTCTAGCAAAGTTCCTGCTCGCTCTGTTTATTTGTACCAATAAGTCCACTAACGGACGTCAGACCGGCATCTGGAACAGGAGCACCAGGCTCACATATTCCACTGTGTACCAGCACTGCATCTATCTGTAAACACAATATGCAAATAAAATAGGGAAAAAACATTTTAATTAATATTGAAGTTCGGTTTGGATGAAAAAATCTATTAGGATTTGGATCTCAGAATGATTCTAAATTAAACTTGTGTAAACAACTCCTGAACCACTACAGAAAGCCCGCGTTTTATCCAGTTTGTACACAACGATGGAGAAACTTAACAAGCAGCAGTGGTCCACTGAAGAGACCAGCTACCTACTGGGAATCTGGTCTTCCGAAGAGGTACAGAGGAAGCTGGAGCACAATTGGCCATTGTTGTTGTTGTCGGTGTGAGCTGTGAGGGGTTTCCGCGCGGTTTGGCTTTATGAAGCAGGCACGCAAACGGTTATGTCATGACGCAAACGATGACGCAATGACGCAGCACCAGTCGGACTCTGGGCTGTGTGAAAAGAGCCGGAGCTAAACCGAAGAACCGGTTCTGAACCTGAAAAGCTCTAGCACGGAGCTTGAACCGGAGTTGCGTTGGTGTGAATGAGGTATATAAGAAGCCCGTAAACAAAGTTGAGGATTAAGTGTTTAATAGTGAATGCACAACGATAAATATCATCAACTGATTTTTAAAAACGAGTTTAAAAAAAGTCACAGCTCGAATGCAAAAAACGAACTCCTTTTTCTTGCAACAACAAAGAAATTACATTTGAAAAAAATGTAAAAGGTGGGGTAAGTAATTCACTTCAGAAACACTTGTTGTTATATTCCATGGAATGCTCTCTAAATCCGCCAGAAACCCGAAAATCTTCGCGCGCGCGCGGGGAACACATGCCTGTGTCCCGTTTTTCCATTTCTGGAAGTTGGCAACCCTACTCATATCTGTTCAGAAACTAGACAAACGTTAAACAAGTACAAACCACAGACTGCCTGTGTCATGGTGAATACAGTCGCTGCTTTATTTATGTCTGTATAGGCCGTTGTTGTGAGTGTGGACGGTCGGAGCATATATAACGATAGTTACGGCTGTAACTACGGTTCTATGAGTCCCGGATGACCGCCAGAGGCGGTGCTTTAAGCACTGGATATGTCCATCGCGCGCATGCGCAGCTCGAGTACCAATAACAACAAAGTCACCTGTGACCTACGTGACACCGGCTATATCAGCCGGTGTCGTCAGAGGATCTGTTCCCAGAATCTTCTCGCGAGCACACAAGAATTCTGAGTGACAGGGAACTCTGGCGGTCATCCGGGACTCATAGAACCGTAGTTACAGCCGTAACTATCGTTCTATTTCGTCCCTACTGACCGCCAGAGGCGGTGCTTTAACCACTGGATGACTTATACCAACAATGTCATGAAGAATCCAAGCCCTTGCTCACCACTGGAAACAGCGGAGCTCGGCAAAAGGACCACGCCCAAAGAATGGGGAGTGGCGACATTGACCTGATGACAACTGGAGAATGTGCCAGAAGACGCCCACGACGCCGCGGCGTAGATGGTCTCCAGGGGCACCACACTCAGGGCAGCCCAAGATGTTGAGATGCTCCTTGTAGAGTGGCATCTCAGCCTGATGGCAGGGGGCGGCCACTGGCCCCGTAAGCCTGTGAGATGGTATCGACAACCCAGTGGGGCAGCCACTGGTTAGAGGGCATAACCTCCTTTAGTGCCGCCAGGGCAAAATCAAGAGTTGCTCCTACTACCGTATACAGGCAGTAGCCTTGATATACGCCCTTTGGGCACCCCCAGGGCACAGCAACTTCGACGTGCCGTACTCCTGAATGTCAAAGCGTGCCAGCTGGGCAGGCTGATTGAAGTGGGTTTGTGGAAGGACCCCGGGCCGGAATGCCACATTTGCCCAAAGGGCAACGCCTGAGAGTCCCACCTTGGGCATGTATTGTTTATGGAGAGGACATGCAACTCCCCGACTCGCTTCCCTGAGGCTATGGCAAGCAGAAATTCTGCCTTCGTGGGCAGCCACCTAAGCCCCACCTGGGCCAGGGGCTCGAAGGGAGGAGATTATAGGGCATCCGGCAGCAGGGGCAGGTCCCAAGCCGGAGCCCTCGGGGTGCTAGGGGGACGCTGCCGTAAAGCCCCTCTCATAAAGAGGGACACCGACCTGTGGCACCCCGCCGTGGTGCCGTCGACCCAAACATGTCGGGCAGAAATCGCAGCCACATAAATTCAGAGTGGAGTGAGAACCTCCACTATCTAGAAGGGACTGTTGTCTAAGCAACAACGTACATGCTGTCCCCAAGGAACACGCACATTCTTGCCCCCCAGTTGGGGTAGGAAGTGCGTGAGTCCAAGCTGCACAGCCCGAAGCTCTAGCACGTTGACCTGGCGCGCACTCTCCTGGGCAGACCGCTGACCCTGAACGGTCCTGCCCTGCCGCACTGCACCCCACCCTGAGAGACATGCACCTATGGTGATGGTCTCCTGGCGGGATGGGATGGCGCCCATGGGCACGCCCACTAGGAGATAGGCCCTGCCCCTCCAGCGTGACAGAGAGTGGAGGCAATGCTGCGACACCCTAACTTCCCTGTGCCTGTGCCACTTGGCGTCCAAGTGAAGGCTGTTCAGCCACATCTGCATGGGGCGCAACGACAGCGGGCCTAAGGGCCCAGCGGCCGAGGCAGCTGCCAGTCTGCCCAAGGGCCGAAGGAACTGAATATAAGGCACCATCTTGCCCGGCCCACGTGGAAGTAGGCATCCCTCAAGTCCACGGTTGAGAACCACTCCACCTGTGCATATGCAGTGGTC